TGCATTGAACTGATAAATTGTCGAGTCCTGGCTGCAAGATGCTATCACTGGCTTTAAGACTTGAAATGGGCCAACTCTCTGAGTTGTGAACTGAGTGTGAATTGGTTCTGGGCTGACTTTGCCACAACTTTATCCCATGCATGCTTTGATGTGATTTTTTTTTAATCCACAATGCACAAGTCAAGCCAAGCAAAGGGAAAAGAAATGAGCAAAGCCTGCCAACAAACAGTGACTGCATCAAGTATCTATTAAAATGCAATGAGAGCAAAATCAAACAAGGATAATGGTATTGACAACGTAGAAACCGACGGGGATGCCTACACTGAGCAGCACACTCACAGAGAGAGAGAGAGAGAGAGGAAGCAGTCTCTATTGAGACAGCCAATGCCATCGGAGCATGGCAAAGCTATCAATTGTTGTGCAGCATTTTGTGCTCCGGCTGTTGTGCATTTGGAATGATTACTTGGCAAGCACGTTCAGGGAAACAACACCAAAATTACTCAACAAATTGTGCGAGCGTCTGGCGTTGGTGATTCGGACTGGGCCTCAGGGCTCGAGGGAAATGCGCTGGAAAACAAAATATGATGAAAATTGCAAAGAATATTGCAAAAATAAGAAAATGCACCCTGGCTATGATTTCTGTTGAAATATATCGTAACATTTATATCTTGGATAAAGAAATCTTGAATTTATCTCATAATCAGGCAAGTGGAATCTCAGAAAGTATTATAAACTAATATTTTATGCTTAAAGTTACTTTGCATTAACAGTCGCATTTACATTCTAGTCTCTGCCCGCCTATCCAAATAGTGCATAAATATTGTGCTTACCCGCTGGCTTCAGTCCGAACTGAAAGATATTACCGACAAACGGATATGGCGTTGGGCCCGGTATCATTTCCATAATGCCAGCCATGTGATCAATATAATTGAATATCTTGACACCCTTGAACACCAAAATTGTGGCCAAAACAATTGCCGCTGCTAGCAGAAACATGTTTTGATCTATTACTTTTTAGATGATTCAAGGAAATATATATTTATTTTAAAAATCACAATTTCTGTTTCACGCTCCGTTCAATTTGCAAACGCTTTGCTTACTGATCGGCCCCAAAAAAAAAGGTCTTCGGCTTTCGCTAAAATTTTGGGCTCGAACCGACGATAACATAGTCGATAGCTTATCTGTCTTTTAGCTACCCCTTTCTTTCCTCACAGTGCTCAGCACTTATGTTAGCTACTAAACAGTCATTAACCGGCAACAGTTCAAAACAATCATAACAATTATCGCCTGCTTATTACATAGTATTCAATTACCTGTAGCTGCTGGCAGTAAGATAACTGTCAATTAAAATTATAATTGCCTCATTACCTGTTCAATTGACTCACTTGGGCATCTAGATTATGACGTGTAAGTCTAAAGGGCACCTTCGTAATGGGACTGATAAGGTAATCAGTTTGTTTGGTTGCGATTGCCGCAAGACATTGCAAAATTGCAATGAGACTCAAGACTAATAATAACTCCTAAAATATTAAAACAACTAGTATTCTATTAATGGATTCCACATAAAACGGATAACATTCAGACTAAACAACAAAAGCTTCATATATAAGGGACAATTATTATAGTTGTTATTGACATAACAGGATATATATATTGATCCCTTAGACAGCTCATCTACCAAAGCCTTTGATAAGATATCAATATACATATGTTCATATGTTACCATACGAGCACTTGCGATTACCGGGTTTTATCCAGTTCAAGTTCTGCGCGTGGGAAAGGTAAACGCTGTTCAGAACGCAGCGTTAAACGCCAATCCCTTTGTCAGAACAAAGAGTTTTCTACATATGGATCGCTGTTGCCAACTATACTATGTCACGATTAAAGGAAAAACCAACCAAAAAACTGAAAAAAAACAACAAAATTTCAAAATAAAAACTAATAGAATTATCTTCATCATTTCTTGTCCTAATCGTCAAAAAACAGTAACTAATTCTAGAAATATTGCACAATTTAATATACATAAATGTGTCGATACTTTTACTGATGGATAGAATGCGTTTAACGACTCTGAAATGTCGTTTATACTAAAGTACCTAGGTTGCATGCTTCCGCCATCTTCTGATAATTCAAATCACGGCTCATTCAGGTTTTTAAATATCGAAGCCAAAAGTCGCGAAATTTTGGGTACGAAGAAATGCATAAATTTTAATTATACAACTCGTCTCTCTGAGTAAATACAAAAATAATGGTGGAAGAACCATCTCGTACTGATGATTAAGGGTTAGCTCCAAAACTCCGTATTAAAAGAAAAAATGAATAAAAGCTAATAAGTAAATAGATAACTTTCGGATGTATGTTTGAAAAGGTTGGAAAAGAGCTAAATCGCCAATACTAATATACATACTCATATCTGTTATATTTATCGAAGATTTGCACCCTTTCTATATGTAAAGAAAACATTCCATACTTCTGGGCAGCGTTAATTTTATAATGCCGATAAGACAGTTTCAACAATATATCACAATTCATTACGTTTTGACCACAACTGCCATGTTTAAGTCCTGAAAATAGCATTTAGATTATGTCAATATTTGTATATTTATACCCTGAACCCATTAAAAATGGGTAAAAAGGGTATAACGTATTTGTGCAAATGTATGTAACAGGCAGAAGGAAGCATCTCTGACCCCATAAAGTATATATATTCTTGATCAGTATCAACAGCTGAGTCGATCTAGCCATGTCCGTCTGTCTGTCTGTCCGTCCGTCCGCCTGTCCGTCTGTCCGTATGTATTAACGCAAGGATCTTAGAACCTATAAGAGCTAGAGACTTGAAATTAGCTGTAGGTCCTCCTAGTCCTCGCGCAGATCGAGTTTGTTTCCGATATTCGATAACTTGCCCCGTTTCCAAGTTATCGATATCGAAATCCTGTTTTTTGGGCAATTTCGGAAAATAATATGAGCTAGAGTCACCAAATTTTACATCTAGCTTCTAGAATAGTAAATATATATCAAGTATCATGCATTTTATACCTACCGCCTGTTGGAAGAAGGGGGTTCGGGGTATCCCCTAGTCGGGAGCTCCCGACTAGAACCTCTTCCTTGTTTTATTTATGTATGTGGAAAAGTTCGATTTTTTTATATAGGTAATTCGGTGCTAGGATCAGGGTATCCCCTTGTCGAGCACTCCACACTAAATGGTTATATTGCACTACTACCAAAGGTTTTTTAATATTTATTATCACTTTATTCAATGAACCTTGGATAGGATGGAACATTTCAAAAACGTTTCTTCAGAGACCAAAGATCGAAATTCAGAAGAGAGTATTTGTCGGGTCAAAAGAGAGACGAATCGTTGCCAATAATTAGCTAGGCGTTGTAAATATCATTCGTTTATGTCTGTTTAGCTAGTAAAGCGTCACAATTTATATATTATTTTACATATTACATATATAATCAGCAAATGAATGCGAATGAAAAAAGGAACTATTGGCGCTTTTTAAAAATTCACTGCTGCTGTAAAACTGAATTCGGTTCTCATTAAAATGGTCTTTCTCTTAGTTTTTTTTCTGCCAACTCATTATGATTGGCAAGAATTCGCGAGTGTTTGGAAGTTGTTTAATCTAAGAGACAGCTGATGGCATTGGTGTATTTAAGTTGTTTGCAGTCCCCAACTAGTATCATTTTCATTCCTTTGCTTGGCCCGAGCGGATCTGATCGGATCGAGTTTTTATATTTGGTCTTCGGTTTTCGTGGGCTTACAGCCGTGTTTAAAAATATGGTTCATTTTGTATGCATTTCTGGCATTGCCATTGCTGGTATTTGCGTACTTCGAACTGAGTGTTGCTAAAAAGAAACGTGTTCTTAACAAAATAAAGGGCCCTCCCACACTGCCGATTCTTGGCAATGCTCACCAAGTGGGCAAAAGTCCAGCCGGTAACTTCCCTACTTAAACCTTAATAATAATGACAATAAAGGACGAGTGCTCAAGTGCACACACACCGATAGTCTCGTACTTTATCCCTTTAATGGGAACTTGTTATTATTTTTAATATTTTGAAAACTATTATTTTCATTTTTAATATAATTTTTCTTATTATTATTATTATTATTTTATTATTATTCTATTATTATGATTATTATTATTCTTATTATTATTATTATTATTATTATTATTATTATTATTATTATTATTATTATTATTATTATTATTATTATTATTATTATTATTCTATTATTATGATTATTATTATTCTTATTATTATTATTCTTATTATTATTATTATTATTATTATTATTATTCTATTATTATGATTATTATTATTATTATTCTATTATTATGATTATTATTATTCTTATTATTATTATTCTTATTATTATTATTATTATTATTATTATTATTCTATTATTATGATTATTATTATTCTTATTATTATTATTATTATTATTATTATTATTATTATTATTATTATTATTATTATTATTATTATTATTATTTTTATTATTATTATTATTATTATGTTAATTATTAATATTATTATTATTGTTACGATTTTCATTATTATTCTTATTTATGTTATTTTAACTACATATATTAATTTTTATAGTTAATAGTTAACAATTGTGGCGTCCATCTGTAACATAAAGAATTCAGAATTCTTAACTGAATTCTCGGTCGCAATAGAAGTAGGTCTACTATTACGATCTTAATTGTATGTGGTTTGTTTCTAGTGGTAATTGTATACAATTTGAATTAAGGGCTCATCTGTCTTTTAATTGAGTAATATGTCAATATTAATATGTCAAGAACTAATTGAAAAATTGTTTGCTACGATTGACTACTTTATTAGAATTATTATTAATTTATTAATAGAATGATTGCAGTTCGTAAATTGGCAATAGTCGCTTAATAAGAAGCAGCATGTATACATTTTTCTATAATTGTATACTCAAAGTAAAACAATCACCGATTTTCTTAAAAACACTTAGCCATATTAAATACCTTGTTCGACTGGTGGTATGAATATGATAAGGATAACTATCGCATGTGGATGGGCTACAATGCAAACATTTGTGTGACTAATCCCAAACATTTGGAGGTATGTCTAAAGCTATAATGTTTGAAAGCCTTCTAAGTAGACATTACTATATTCTCAGGTCATAATGAACAGCAACACTCTAATAAAAAAATCGGATATTTACAATATGTTGTATCCTTGGCTGGGCGAAGGACTGCTCACGAGCTCCGGCAGCAAATGGCATAAGCACCGCAAGATGTTAACGCCCGCCTTCCACTTTAATATCCTCCAAGATTTTCACCAAGTCATGAATGAGAACTCAACCAAATTTATCAAGCGACTCAAGAAAGTATCGGCTGGTGACAGTATTATAGATTTCCAGGATGAAACACATTACTTAACGTTGGACGTTATCTGCGACACAGCGATGGGTGTACCCATTAATGCCATAGAAAAACGTGATACAGTAGAGGTTGTAAAGGCCTTTAAAGAGTGAGTTCTTCTTTGCAACTCTCTTGCGTCATTTAAATGATTTTTGTTTCTATAGTATGTGTTATAACTTGAACATGCGGGCGTTCCATCCCTTCAAGCGTTCCGAGCTGCTTTATCGCCTAGCTCCCGATTATGCCGCCAATGCGAAGACTCTGAAAACTTTACAAGACTTCACCAACGAAATAATTGAGAAGCGCATTGAGGCTCATCGCACGGGTATCGCCAAGAAGACGGAAGACAACGAATTCTCCCGTAAGAAGATGGCTTTTCTGGATACCCTTCTTTCGTCTACCATTGATGGACGTCCATTGAATCAGCAGGAGATATACGAAGAGGTCTCCACATTTATGTTCGAGGGACACGACACAACGACGTCGGGCGTGGCATTTGCTGGCTACTTACTATCCAGGTTGCCGGAGGAGCAGGTAACACGCAATTTTGTAGGCTGCCTAAAAGTTGACTAATCTTTTATTTTCCTTCCACTCACCAAAGCGTAAGCTATTTGAGGAACAGCGAGTTGTCATGGGCAATGAGCTTCATCGGGATGCTAAATTCCAGGAAATCGCTGAGATGAAATAACTGGACTTGTTCATTAAGGAGGCGCAGAGAGTCTATCCCAGTGTTCCCTTCATCGGTCGATACACTGAGAAAGATTATGTGATACGTAAGCAAGTGAATTTGCAGGAGCTCATGAATCTCAACCCTCCCCCTCTCTCTCTTTCTCTCTTCATCACTCCTTCTCTCTCTTTTTTCTCTCTCCCTCTCACACACTTTTAATAGATGGTACCACAATACCTAAGGGCACCGCTCTAACTCTAGTACTTATTATTCTGGGCTATGACGATCGGACTTTTAAGAAACCACATCGTTTCTATCCGGAACGTTTCGAGGTAGAAAAACGCGGGCCCTTTGAGTATTTTCCCTTTAGCGCAGGTCCACGCAATTGCATTGGACAAAAGTTTGCACTGCTGGAGATCAAGACTGTGATATCGAAGCTTGTGCGAACCTTTGAAATATTGCTCGCTGTGGATGAGCTTGTTTCCAAGGATGGCTATCTTAACACCTATTTGGGCCTGCCCAAGACGGAGAAGGAAAAGAAAGAGAAACTGGGTCACAAATACGATCCCATCTTGTCTGCCGTTTTGACCTTAAAATCAGAGAATGGTCTACATCTCCGACTGCGTAAAAGATAATAAGTTTTTATTTTACCCATTGTACATTTTATCAATATTAAAAGTTTTTGAAGCTAGAAGCTAATCAAGATGAAAGGTAAATTGGCCAGTTGGAGTGAGGATTTTTACACTTTCACAATTTGTTTTTGGGATTGCCGTAGAATTAAGTTATGTGAGAGAAACTTGTATAGGCATCAGGCAACGACTAACCTACGCCATTCGCAGATCACGTCGTTGGTCTCTTGCTAGAGTGGGTCGCTAACACTGCTACATGTCTTCTGGATCGGGACAGCTACCTTCATCTAAGAACGTCTCATCATGAAGCTGGTCTGGCGAGTACTTCCATTAATAGAGTGATAAGAGTAATCAGTTTGTTTGACTATAAACGAAACATCGCCAAGTTGAAAATGACTCAAGGCTAAGGTTCGTTCGATTATTGTAAATGCAAATACATACACTATATAATAAGAATAATTTTAGAGTTTGCTACAAGAGGGAGCTTTTAATTTTTATGATAATTATTAATAATATTATAGAACATAGCTTAGAACTAGCAACAATAGCAAACACCATACATGTGACTGGGATTCGAAGCGGGATCTTTTGTGGTAAGTTGCCTGACTGACAGCTCATCTAACGAGAATTCATAAGCCAACATTAGCGATTACTCGGCTTTGGCAGGTCCAAGTCCCGCGCGGTAAAACTTCCATTTATTTTCAATTTAGTTGTTGCTCTTTAATTTATAATTGCGCCTTTCCATACAAATAACAAATAAAAAAAATGAATATTAAAGTTGGCAATAATAAAAAACATAACTGTTTTATTATCGAAGTTCAAAACCTTTTTTGAAACTTTATGTTAACATTGCATACTCTTGGTCAGCACTTAATAATTCCAGATAACGCCGGTTCAAAAACATAATTAATTTACTCTTTGAGCTTCAAATAAGAGAGGGTTCCAAATCACACACTCTTAAATGTTGCCCACGTTTGTTTACATTTTGACCTTATCTAGCTTAAATTTATGTCAAAACTAATTAAAGGTAAACAAATATTGCTTTCAAACTTGTTTTTATATAAAATTGTTTCAAGTTTTCGCTTTTGGAAAAAATATTTAATATCAATTTAATTAAAACATTAAATTTTTATTTAAGACTCACGACATTGCAATTTATTGTTCTGTAAATTTTGGAACAAGTTGCTAATTTATGACGATTGATAATAAATAAAATATATATGATATTTTTTGGCTACTCAACTAGAAAGGCCCTAATAGTTGATAAACCAATTTTTATAACTCTTACATGTTGAAACTGAGATCGAGAAGACTTAATCGAGTGCGGGGGTCGGTGGTACACATGCAACTTGCTCTTTATTTCTCCTGATCATTTTCTATTTCTCTCTTTTCTCTCTCTCTCTCTCTCTCTCGTTTCCGTCTGACTCGCTAACATAGTTTTCCTTGCTCACTTTCCATGATGAGCAGCAACAATTTCTTCTGCTTTTATAAACTCAAACATTTACACACACATATATCTTTGAATGCATGTGTAAAGAAATAATAAGTTTGTTTCAAATTAATCAAATAAATAAATATGTATATTTAATTGTCGTTGCACTTATAGACACAGCATATTGTGCCGCTCCCTCGTGATGCAATCTCTGAGATTGATGCGCTTATACACGAATACACTAAAAGCAAGTCATATTAATATATTATTTAATTAAAATACAATTATACTATGCACAATGTACTCGTTAAGAAGAAGAAATAATGTTAGTAAAAATCGTAATAACATAAATTTTTTTTATTTATTTGATGAGCTTGTTTCTGATTTCTTTAGACAACTGATCCAGAATTGCTTCTCAATTTTTTACGGTCTGCTCGTGAGGCACACATAAATTTCTGGGCACATTTTTATTTCAGATTTGGGTTATGAAAGAGGTTTGATTTACTAATCGTAAATTCTTATCAACTAACCTTGCACAAGTTGCAATACATTCTAATCAGAACACAAAACTCAATAAACAAAAGAGAGCAAGAGAGTCAGGTCCGAAGAGAGCCGAATCGTTACCAATGTTTAATTAAGAGATTTTACAGCGATCTGTTGGTTTGTTTGTTTTAGTTATAGCAATGATAGCCTCAAGAAGAATTCCACGCTCAATTTTGAGCAAATCCACATTAACAACGATGCACTATTTTAAAAAAAAAAAAAATATGCCAACCAAAAAACAATCAGCGACCGTTTGAATAATATGCGATTCACGGCTGCTGAAAAACTAAATCGAGCGTTGCTTGAAATTGACGCTCTGTGAATTTTTGACGCCCATTAAATCACGTGTATTGTAAAACAAACAAATTGAAAATATATTTATATATATATATATATTTATATACATTTATAATGCTTAGCCCAGCTACGGGCTTATGTAAATCTATTTACTTATTTAAATATGTTTAGGCGGATCCACCATATTTATTCGTAGTTGAATAGTGCTCTTCCTCTTCCTCTGCCTGCTCTCAGTTGTTTTTCTGTCAACTCATTCTGATACGCTAAAAAACCCGCGAGTTTTTTGAAGTTGTTTAATCTGAGAAAGAGCTGCTCGCGATAGTTGTATTTAAGCTGTTCGCAGTCTCAATCTAGCAGCATTTTAATTCTTTTGGTTGGCGCGAGCGGATCGACTTGACTCGAATCGGGTCGAGTTGTTGTATTTGTGTTTAGTTTTCGTGAACAAACAATTATCCAAATCGTTTAAAAATGTGGTTTATTTTGTATGCGTTTCTGGCATTGCCATTGCTTATATTTGCGTATTTTGAACTGAGGGTTGCTAAAAAGAAACGCGCGCTGAACAAAATAAAGGGCCCGCCCACAGTGCCGCTTCTTGGCAATGCCCACCAAGTGGGCAAAAATCCGGCGGGTAACTTCCCTACTTGATAGGAGATAACATAAATAGTTAAAACAAAAATCTGAAAAGTTTTAATGGCTCATTTAAATGGCTAATTGCCTTCTCTCGAATAGCATTATGGCTGATGACAATTCTGGAATAACATCAGTTGAAATGCCATTCGGGTTAAGGCATTTAAGGATTGGCAACGAGCAATCATTTGAGTACCAGGCCTAAAAAACATATCATTTAATTTTTCACCCAAAACGCAGCTGCGACTGTCCCAGACGTATTAATTAGTTTGCTAATAACTTTTTTTGTTATGCTTAAGATTAGAGTAGCGATAAAACGAATACAAAAATGTGATTCGGGCCGTAGATTGTGATAGTGCAATAAAATGATAAGTTTCACAAAAACTGATTACCTGCTTTTAAAATATAACAATGATTGATTACGGTTAAAACGATTATTATTTTTAACTAATATTATTATTTTTTAATTATTAAAATATTTTTTTTAATTATTATTATTATTAATAAATCCAACTGGCTACTGTGCGGTTTAGCTTATGACATCACAATATATTATACTTGGTTTCGAAGCTTCGTTCTCGTTCTCAAGTGGCCATGCACGATATGCATTAGATTTGGATTGTATGCGATTAGATTCTACTAATCTACCTATATAATTTAAATTAAGAGTGGGGTTCAACTGCCAATCACGTAGGGCTTAACTAATTGAAAATTGAGAAAAGTAGTTCGTAATTATTGCAGCTGTAAGTTAATTGCAATATTAGTTTATTTATAACTATCTTATATAAATGACATACATGTTTATCTATGAAATTACCTATAATTGCACACTCAATTTAAAACATTAACCGTCTAATGCGTTTTTTATTTTTTTTATTTATTAAATGTACATAGAAATCCTAAACACTTTCTTCGAATGGTGGCACAAATATGATAAGGATAACTTTCGCATATGGATAGGCTATTATGCCAACATTTTGGTAACTAATCCCAAACATTTGGAGGTAGGTTCAAAGCAATAAAGTTTGGAAGCCTTCTAAATAGACATTCCTATTTTTTCAGGTAATAATGAACAGCAACACTCTAATAAAAAAATCGGATATTTACGATATGTTGTATCCTTGGCTGGGCGAAGGACTGCTCACGAGCTCCGGCAGCAAATGGCATAAGCACCGCAAGATGATAACGCCCGCCTTCCACTTTAATATACTCCAAGATTTTCACCAAGTCATGAATGAGAACTCAACCAAATTTATCAAGCGACTCAAGAAAGTATCGGCTGGTGACAGTATTATAGATTTCCAGGATGAAACACATTACTTAACGTTGGACGTTATCTGCGACACAGCGATGGGTGTACCCATTAATGCCATAGAAAAACGTGATACAGTAGAGGTTGTAAAGGCCTTTAAAGAGTGAGTTCTTCTTTGCAACTCTCTTGCGTCATTTAAATGATTTTTGTTTCTATAGTATGTGTTATAACTTGAACATGCGGGCGTTCCATCCCTTCAAGCGTTCCGAGCTGCTTTATCGCCTAGCTCCCGATTATGCCGCTAATGCGAAGACTCTGAAAACTTTACAAGACTTCACCAACGAAATAATTGAGAAGCGCATTGAGGCTCATCGCACGGGTATCGCCAAGAAGACGGAAGACAACGAATTCTCCCGTAAGAAGATGGCATTTCTGGATACCCTTCTTTCGTCTACCATTGATGGACGTCCATTGAATCAGCAGGAGATATACGAAGAGGTCTCCACATTTATGTTCGAGGGACACGACACAACGACGTCGGGCGTGGCATTTGCTGGCTACTTACTATCCAGGTTTCCGGAGGAGCAGGTAACACGCAATTTTGTAGGCTGCCTAAAAGTTGACTAATCTTTTATTTTCCTTCCACTCACCAAAGCGTAAGCTATTTGAGGAACAGCGAGTTGTCATGGGCAATGAGCTTCATCGGGATGCCACATTCCAAGAAATCGCTGAGATGAAATACCTGGACTTGTTCATTAAGGAGGCGCAGAGAGTCTATCCCAGTGTTCCCTTCATCGGTCGATACACTGAGAAAGATTATGTGATACGTAAGCAAGCGAATGAACAGGAAGAATCTAAGCTTTTAACCCTCTCACTCTCTCAATTTTTATAGATGGCACCACAATGCCTAAGGGCACCACTCTAAATCTAGCACTTATTATTCTGGGCTATGACGATCGGACTTTTAAGGAACCACATCGTTTCTATCCGGAACGTTTCGAGGTAGAAAAACCCGGGCCCTTTGAGTATTTGCCCTTTAGCGCAGGTCCACGCAATTGCATTGGACAAAAGTTTGCACTGCTGGAGATCAAGACTGTGATATCGAAGCTTGTGCGAACCTTTGAAATATTGCCCGCTGTGGATGAGCTTGTTTCCAAGGATGGCTATCTGAACACTTATGTGGGTCTTCCCAAGGCGGAAAAGGAAAAGAAGGAGAGCCAAGGTCACAGATACGATCCCATCTTGTCTGCCGTTTTGACCTTAAAATCAGAGAATGGTCTTCATCTCCGTTTGCGGGAAAGAAAATAGACTCGCAGGCTTTGTTATATGTTATTTCATAATACGATTTATTATCATTTAAAGTTGTTAAAGTTAGAAGCTAGCTAAGCTTGAACTTTAGTTAATGGCTACCAAAACGGTGCCCACATTGCCGTTGGCAACAAAGGCTGCAGTCTTGACGGTTTCTCCATTTATGTACTGGGATTGCAACGAGCTGGTTATGACCTCCGCATCCGTGCCCAAGGTAAAGTATTGGGTGAGGTTAATAGTCTTGTCGCTGCTGCCTAGATTCAGGACTACGATATATAGATCGCTGCCTTCCTTTTGCCTGGAAAATGATAGAGGAATGTTAGGGCAGTGTTCTCTTCACAAGAGGCCATGCTAGGTACCGTGAGTAGACAATGATATCATCATCCAGAGCTTGAATCTTAATCGCACCAGCACGGAAAGAGGGCTCCTGACGCAGACGCACTAGAGTCTTGAAGATTTGCAAATGCGACTGCGGAGCGCGCAGCTGTTGCAAGGCATTGTTCGTCTTATAGTCATCCGAAACTGGGAGCCAGGTGTGATCAGCACTTGTGAAACCTGAGCGAATATTGTGAAATAAAATGGAAATGAAACAGGTAACGGACAATAAGTTTGAGTGCTACTCACCCGCTTTTGAAGATGCATCCCATTGGTAGGGCGACCGGGCGGGATCACGCGACCGATCATAGTAAGTATCCGGATCGGAGTTGCAGGCCTGAGGATCCACTGTGTCCTCCCAGCTGATGAATACATCGGTCATGCCAAGCTCCTCACCATTGTACGTGACTGCATGGCCGGGCAAGGTCTGGAGCAGAATGTTTATCAAATCCGTACGCTGCACACCAAATCGTGAAGCGACACGTTTGTTGTCATGATTGCCCAGCACCCAATTGGCATAGACCCCAGCAGGCATGGCATTCAGCCACTTTTCTATGTGCTCCACGTATTCGTTAGCCGTAGAGGCGTTGTTAATGTTCGACAGAAAGTCAAAGTTGAAGGGAATTTGCGAGCCATTGCGAACGCCATCACCGTAGAATTTAATCATATTTTCAAAGCTGGTATAGGCCTCTGTCATAAGCAAACGCTGCTCCCCGCCGTGTTCCGAGCGGAATTCGTCGACTACCTCACGCCATTGATAGATCATGTCGACAGTCTCGGGTTGGTCTTGGACGTATACGTGCGTTAGATAGCAGGCATCGTCCGGATCGGGACAGCTGGTGTCATTAGAGAGCGCCTCATCAGGATACTGATTGTAGCGATCCAGGTCGATTTCAAACAGATAGGGTATTGCGTCAATACGGAATCCGGCAACGCCCTTGGCTAGCCAGAATCTGAGCACATTTTTCATCTCATTGACCACCGCAGGATTGCGATAGTTCAAATCCGGCTGCGCCGTGGCAAATTGATGGAGATAATACTGCTGCCTAACATCGTTCCATTCCCAGGCGCTGTACCGAAATACCGAATTCCAATTGCTTGGCGGCTCACGTTCTCCGGTTTCCTCATTAATTTTGCCATCGTGCCAGACATAAAAGTCCTTGTAATCAGGATCACTATCCACCGACTTGATGAACCACTCGTTCTTGTCACTTGAGTGATTGGGCACAAAGTCCAAGATTATTTTAATGCCCACCTCCTTGGCGCGTGCAATCATGCGCTCAAAGTCCTCCATGGTGCCATATTCCGGATGTATCTGATAGAAGTCTGCAATGTCGTAGCCAAAGTCCACCATGGGTGACTTGAAAATGGGCGACAGCCAAGTAGCGGTGAAGCCGATGTCCTTCAAGTACTGCAGCTTCTCGGTAACACCATTTAAATCTCCAATACCGTCACCATCGGAATCGCGAAAAGAGCGCGGATATATCTGATAATAGTTTCCACTCTCCCACCACTCAGTGGCACTAGCGATGCCCAGCACCGCAGCCAGGATCGCAACGACTGTCAGCAATCGCATGTTGAATGATTTTGTTCAAACTAACAACCGACTAGGGCCTTTTATGCCGATTGATAAGATCATGCCCAATAAGTTTTTGCCCACTTGGAGTGGGCATTTCAATTGCTGGGTAAACAGCTCGCCCGCATAGGTTCATGCGCTTCCATGCTGAAAATAATACCCCGCTCGAATGTCATTGTTTTTAAGTACTTTACTATGGGAAAGCAAAAAAGGTGATTTCGCATTGGATTTTAATGTTACCCAACAGCGATTAGTGATAGTGGAAAATTTGTATTTCTCGCTTCGCGTTGTTGTTGCTGTTGCTGCAACTGAAGTGCAACGGGTTTAGTCAGTGGGCAATAATCACCTGATAGGAAGTAACGAAGAATTGTCAGAATACTTAAACCAAAAGGGTTTACTTCTAGGGGAAACCATTAAAAGATAACTCAAAGAGCCACTAAAGTTAAGGTAAAAAACAATATTGTTTATACAAGTAAGCTATTTGTCATAATTGTTGGATAACCTTGCAAATGACACAATTGAATACAGTTTAATACATTCATATGTGTGATATATTTGAAACATTCATTGTACTTTAAATACAAAAATTACATTGAGTGCTTATAATTCTGCCAAGCTTTCATTAGAAACTACTTTGCAAAATTTTTAACACTTCACACACTTTATGCGTAACTTTTTTTATATATCTTTATTTTTGTATGAGTCTATATGAATATGAAAGAAAGAATTTACAAAGTCTTATCGATATTGAATCGATATGCAAATGTATATTGTAACTAGGAATAAAAAAAATTAGTGATTTAATTTGATGCAACTACGTATTTATTAAACTTATTTAAGAAAAACATTGATTAGGTGTGAAGAACTTAAAGGCTATCGAGAAATATCTGAGACTAGTCCGTTGTACGTTCCAAGTCCACTATAAACAATCAGCTTAGGAGCTGAATTTGCTTTAATGGTGAGAGCCATGGGGAGCGCTATGGGGAACGCTATGGGGGTTGTGGGGCTCGGGGGCTTGGGGATGCGCCTCGTTCCATGCAATGGAGCGTGCGATGGCTTCGGGGATAGCGGGGATGGCAGCTCCCGATGGCTGGTAGCCGTGCTCATCGGCAACGTACTTGATATCAATGTGCTCGCCTTCGGGGGAGATCCAGCCGAAGCTGCCGTGGATGTTTCCATGCTCATCACCGCTCTCTGAGCGAGTGATGTGGTTGGTGGTCTCAAGGCTTGAGTCGAAGCCATCTGGGCGAATATCATCCTTGCGGGAAACAACATCAGCGTGCACATCGTCGCCATGATGAACGGGCACTGGGTGTGGTGCAGGGTGCGGCACAGGGTGAGGCTCTGGATGGGATACCTTCACTGGATGATGGGGTACTGGGCGGTGTTCTATTGGGTGGTGCACCGCGGCGGCCAGGCCGATAATAGCGCAGATCATCACCTAAGGAAAGATCGATTAGTGTGGAATCATTACCGATCCTTAGATTCAGTTCGCTCTACTTACGAATTTGAACATTTTGATTTGGATGTGGTGCAGTTGTAGAACGTAGAGAACAAACGTTGACTGATGCTCCACCTTGGCCAGGCACTCGCTTTTATACAACTCCAGTGGGTGTTGCCCCATATAAATTGTGTCCAGTTTATGACTTGTACCCATCGAACAGTTATCGCTCTGAGTTATTGATGTACCCGTCGAGCCCCCTTCCAATATATTCGCTTAGAAACAGTTCCAAAGAAACAATGTACGGTTATAATCTTAAAAATAAAATCAATGCATTAGTGGATAAACAACGGCCAAATCAAACGAGTTCAGTTCAAACCCCAAACCCGTTTCCATTTCAAAACAACAGAGCATCAGTGTGTCACAAGCCCCTTGAATCTGACCAGATCCGGTTTCTAATAGGCAATGGAGTTTGGTAATCAACAAATTGCAAATTTTCCACAATTGCTTTAAGTTGGGGTTCTAAGACCTCGCACACATTTTGTTAAATTTAATATAATTGACATTAGGAACTGTGTTAGTACATTTATAGATATGGTTTTTAATCTAAAAAAGTTAATATAAAACTATATACAAAAATAAGTTCTTCATTAATCTGTGTAAAGAGTGTTGAATAAACAGAATGATGTATATCTCAAATAACAGTAAGGATTAATGGTTGATTAAGTAGAACACAACTTGTATGGAATCTAGGCGTGCCTATTCTAGATTTCTATTGCGATCAAACTTGTCGGAATATGCAAATCCCAAAATAAATAAATAAAACGTATGATTAATAGGTAATAAAATTGAGCACAAATTAAAATTAAAATTAAATTAAAAGACTTAAGCATACAAAATTAAAAATAAAATTAACAAAATATAATCTAGTGACAGCCTGAGTTGTTAAGAAATGAATAGACGAGTCTTTTCTAGATGGCGATACCAATCAAACTTTTCGAAATCGAAACAGATTGGAGTGTCTTATTTCGATAAATATAAAATTTTATTTTGAAAAGTTTTCCTCAGAATTTTCGAAATAATAAATAATTGGCACAATAATATAAAAATATGTATATATATTGCTTTTAAAATTATTTTTAATTTCTTATTCATTATATGGGAAAGTCATTTTAGTTTTCAGTGATGTAACTTTTATGATTATATTATGGGCTTATCTTTCTATTTATTATTTTATTATTACAAAACTACAACAAGCAAATCGAAAACTATTGAAATGGAACCAAAGTGAGGCGTCGTCGTTTTGCCTTAAGACAATCAAAAATCATTTTAAACAATGAATTGGCTGTCACCAATCACAATAAAGGAAAAACATCTGTAATATCAATTGATATGGAGTTGGAATAAAAACGATTTGAAATGATTCGTAGTCATTTAGAGTAGACGATAACTGAATTTACTTTTATGCCCCGTCAGATAGTTACCTTACAGGGTAGCATCTATCTGTTTATTTTACACACTTTTGCACATTTAAATTTGGCATGGTTTAATAAATCTTATTGCTTACGGGTGCAGGCTTTAACAAATACATTTTAGTTGCAGCTTTTTTAAAATTGTATTTTTATTGTGTTTTTATTAACATAAAATACCCAAAAACCTGACCGAAAAATAATTAAAGCTGTAAAATAAGCGCGAATACATTAATTGAATACAAACAAATAGAACCGCATCGACAATCCCTGGGCCAGGCACTGTAGCTACCGCGTCACCCTGAGCCGCTCTCCCCCCGCCCGTGATGAGGCTAATGCAAATGTGTTGCCCCCCATGTGGCTAATGTGTGGAGTGAAACTTGCTATAAAGAATTTTGGTCAGGCTTTTCCTGGGTGCACATTTGAACGTTGAGTTCCTGTCATTAATTAACTAAGTATAAATTTTAAGCAATGTAATTTATTTAAAAGCACATCAAGTTATCAATGGCCGGGGGCTGGCAAAAAATTTGTCAAAATAAAGTCGAGCACTTTTGAAATGTCAAGTGAGCGGTCGTCGGTCACAGTTGACAGCTGTCAAGTGGCCAGAAGGACACGTACATGAGCTTTTCGACCGTTGGCTTTATTGCGTCAAGGATAAATCTTTATGTTCCGTTCTGTCATGCATCATTCGAGGGCAATTCCACACTACTTCATATTAAAAAAAACCAACGACTGTGGTATTTTATATACCACAACAACATCCTAGCCATCACATTGGGCTTATTTCCCATTAATTGTAAATCAATGTGAAACTGAAACTATTTAAAAATATTTTTCGGCCTGGCAATTTTTATTTATAAGCGACAGCGAACTTTTAGACTAATTTACGTTCTTCTCAGATAAACATTATCAAAATTGTTGTAGTTTTAAAGTCATAAATAGCAGAACTTGTGACATTTCTTTGCATTTCTTAATGGTTTAATTGGATTGCTATCTAGAAATGATTCACCTGGGAAAATCTTGTTGATTTAAACAATTAAAAGACCTCAAAACTGTTCGCTGACCAGCAAACCTTTCGGTCAACCGACGTAAATGCAAAAGCCAAAGCCGCTGGGTATCTGAATGTTATGCTAGGGTCACATAAAACCATTTTATGGCAGCTTTTGTTATCCGCAGGGGACACAACACGTTGGCAAGTGTATCGACATCAACATCGTCGCATACGCATATTCCAAGAGTGCTCGACTGTAAGACACCATGTATCTATATACGATCCTTATGAAAATGTTAGAATAACATTCGGAAATACCTCAATCTGTGTAAGGTATATAATATTTATTTCTCTAGTTAAAACCAACAAGGTTGCCAATGCTGAGTTTTAGATATTTTTAGATAAGTAAAATCAGTTTGAAATCCATCGAATGAACAGTCAAAAGTAAGAATTTAAGATATGAACCGGAAAGTTTAACCACCTTTGACCCCCATTTTCACTAAGAACGGATACATTTTTCGAAAAGTGTAAAACATGTCTCAACAAAACTTGGAGCTAAATTTGACGGCGATCGGATGTTAAACATAAATATTCAAACCGCCGTTTTCCGGGATTTTTCCAATTCAAAATTCCGTTTAATTAATGTAAGAAAATTAAAGTCCAATGATATCAATTGCGAGATTACTTGCAATTACTCTGTTTCAAGCTTAAGATAGTTGCAACATTGTCTTAGTTGATAACGAAGAAAATGTGCTACAAATAATAAAAGCCGTGTCTAAAATTAGAGATATCTAGATTTTTCCTACTTGTGGAGCAAAGAGTAGACGCAAACATGTATTTGTTCGAAGTTGCGCATCTCGCTTCAATAGCGTGGAGGACAGAAGAACAGATTGGCACTGCAAGAGTCCAATATACTCTTGATAACTTTGGGAAGAGGGTGTTATAAAGCACAGCCGCAACTTGTGTAATCTAACAAGAATGTCATAAAAGTGGGCAGATTACCCATGTGCTCTGTGGGCCATGTATGCCGTACACGAGTGCCGCTGGCGTTGTTGAGTTTAGCCTTATCGCTGCAATCCCTATCGCAACAAGGAAAAAAGCAATTGTTATTAACTAATTGATTTTGCGACACTCAAACGCGAGCGAAATGTCAACGCGATTACTTCTTGGGCTGCTCGCGGCGCTTTTGGTAGGCACAACAGCAGCCTCAACGGACATTGATTGGTGGGAGAATGCCGCGCTCTATCAGATCTATCCGCGATCCTTTCAGGACAGCGATGGCGATGGCATTGGCGATTTGAATGGCATAACAAAGCGTCTCAGCTATCTGAAGGAAATCGGGATTACAGCCACTTGGCTATCGCCCATATTTAAGTCGCCCATGTCCGATTTTGGCTATGATATATCCAACTTTAAGGAAGTCGATCCGATCTTCGGCACACTAGCTGACTTTGATGCCATGATGGTGCAGGCCAAGGCGCTGGACCTGAAGATTATATTAGACTTTGTGCCCAATCATTCGAGCGATGAGTGCGAGTGGTTCCAAAAGTCTATTAATCGCCAGGACGGCTACGATGACTTCTATGTGTGGCACGACGGCAAGCTGAATGCGGAGACGGGTGAACGCGAGCCGCCCAGCAATTGGGTGAGCGTCTTTGGAGGGCCACAGTGGACGTGGAATGAAGTGCGCCAGCAGTATTTCCTGCACCAGTTTCAGGTGAAGCAGCCCGATCTGAACTTTAGTAGTCCCATGGTGCGTGAGCACATGCTGGACGTGCTGGGCTTCTGGCTGGACCGTGGCGTCGACGGCTTTCGCATTGATGCCGTGCCACACATCTACGAACATCGTAATGCCAACGGCAGCTATCGAGATGAGCCCGTCAGCGGCTGGAGTAGCGATCCCAACAGCTACGACTATCTAGATCATATCTACACCAAGGACCAACCAGAAACAGTGCAGTTAATGTACGAGTGGCGCGATTACCTGGTGCAGTACCAGGCGCAGCATGGCGGCCCGACACGTGTACTGCTCGCCGAGGCCTACAGTGCGGTGGAAACCCTGAGCGCCTACTTTGGCAATGGAACTCGGTTCGGCACACAGCTGCCCATGAACTTCCAGCTGATGTATCTGAGCGGCTTCTCGACGGCAAAGGATGTTGTCGGTTCCATTGACTACTGGATGCAGACCATGTGGACGCAGCATCAGACAGCCAATTGGGTTGTGGGCAACCATGACACACAACGCGTGGCCAATCGCATGGGCGCACACAAAGTGGATCTGCTCAATGTGATTGTGAACGCGCTGCCAGGCGCCTCGGTCACCTACTACGGTGAGGAGATCGGCATGGCCAATGTAGAGACTGAGTGCACGGAGATCTCCTGCGATGACCGCGATGGCGAGCGAACGCCCATGCAATGGGCTCCAGTGAAGAACGCCGACTTCTCCACAGCCGAGAATACCTGGCTGCCCGTCAGTTCCGACTATGCGCGCTACAATGTGCAAACCGAAAGAGGCGTGGCGCGTTCTTCGCTGCAAATATTTAAGGGTCTGCAGCAGCTGAAGAGCAGCTCTGCATTTCTGGCTTTCAAGGAGGAGGGTGGCTTCTCATACGAGGCGGTCACAGAGCAGGTGCTGCAGATTGTGCGGTAAGTGATGAGTAACTGCTTCAGAATTATAGTTTAACATTAATTATCCTTTATACAGCACCAATAAACGCAATGAGGAGTACCGTATTTTCGTTAACATGGGCAATAGCATCGAAATTCTCGAGGGTCTGTCTAATAAGGTCTACGAGTATATGCTTGTAACCGCCTACTCCTTGCACACACCAGGGTAAGTTTGCCTAGTATGTAGGCTGCCTCCCATGAACTAACGATATTTATGACAGGGAAACGATTGATCTGAGTCAAATACTGGTGCTCATGCCCTATGAAGCAATCGTGCTGCGGTGGTTGGCCTGAATCACCGAGTTTTGTTCAGCCTAATCAGTGCATTTTATGATCCTCATAAAGATTAAATTTAAAAGTGGGCCTACAGCCATGTGCCTGACTATACAAACAATTTTTCGCCACATGCCAGTGGAAAGTGCATAATAAATACAAAGTCCAATTCGACTTTGAGTGGGCAATTACTCGAAAGAATTGTAATTTCAACACTTGAGTTTTTCAATAAACTATTTACAACAGCTTCTCAAAGACAACATAGTGAAATTTACACATTAATATGGGCTTAAGATGTAAATTATAGATTGACAAATTTCTATCAGATTAAAATCGATAAGAAAAATTCGATTTCCAGCCCCAAGTTTTTGGTGTTAGTAGAGTCCCGAACCTATCATTTAACATACGCTGATAAAGTTTATTTGGGCTATTGATTTTATTCCCGTTCCGCCTAATCGATATATATTGTTTTAGTAGGTGTACGCTAATAAAATTTGTATCAGATTTCTTGTTTTTTAAATACTTCAGCTTATCTTTCTTCTTGTAGGGCACTTAACTACCCCATTTTCAAGTTTGATAATGTTAATTAAATAAACTTAACAGGCTGATAAGCTGATAAAACAAACTATTTCAAAAGAGTGCGGACTTACAAATATATAAAATAAGTGTATATTTTTTGTATGATCTTTATTTTTTTTTAATCTGTATTTCAAACATCTTTTGGTCTTAGAGATTGTCACGAAATATAATATAAGCTAAATGAGTTTTGGAAAATAAGAAATTAAATAGTGCTAAGGACAATGGCTTCCTTGGGCATCAACAGCAACGAATTGGCATAGGTCACATCACTAGAACGAAAAATAAACGAGAGAAAAAAGCAAAATTTTAGAGTAAATTCAGAGTATCTTGAAAGCAAAGCTTACTTCTTGCGACGCGCACTCTTGTCATTGACCACAACGTAGCTCAGCTGTGAGCTGAGTTCCGTGAAGGCAGAATCCAGATTAACCGACTCGACATCATCGTTGATGTTAATGACGGTTATGTATGACTTGTGACCGGCGAGAGAGCTGTGGATAGGTATAAATTATGCTCTGTTGAGTATGGGTTTTAGCTGAGAGATATGGACACTAACCGCTTGAAGGCCAGCACATTGGGTCCAATGGGGTTAACCGTGACATCACCCTGCTTCAGGGTGGGCTCATCGCGCAGAGCTCGCAGCTGCTTGTAGATGTTCAGATGACTGAGAGCAATGCCACGCTCCCGCTTCACATTCACCAGCTTGTATTTGTCCGAGACAGGTAGCCAGGTGCTGGTGCCATTAGTAAAACCAGCGAACTCCTCATCACTCCACTGGAATGGCGTGCGGACGGGATCGCGTGTGAGGCGCTCGAACTCCTGTTGGTTGGACTGGCATGCCTGCGGATCCACAGTGTCTTCCCAGCTGATCCAGACGTCTTCCATGCCTATCTCCTCTCCCTGGTAGTTGACGCTGATGCCGGGCAGCGTCAGCAACAGCATGTTGATAGCATCGATGCGATCGGCGCCCAGGCGCGTGGCAATGCGGCTCTGGTCATGATTGCCCAGCACCCAGTTGGCCGCCTTATCGGCGGGCATGTTGTCCAGCCAGTTGTGCAATAGCTCCGAATAATGATACGCATCGGAGTTGATGTTAATGTTTGAGATCAGCTCAAAGTTGAACGGAATCTGGGAGCCATTGTGGGTGCCGTTGCCGTAGTACTGCATTAGCACATCCAAGGGAGCATATGCTTCGGTGAGGAGGACACGATCGTCACCACCCAGCTCCTGGTCAATCTCTTCGATGACCTGGCGGAATTGGTAAACCAAATCAATGGTCTCGGGCTGATTTGTGGTATAGATGTGGTCCAAATAGGTGTAATCCTCAGGATCGCTAACATACTCATTTCTAGGCTCATCGGGCCAATCGCCATTGGAGTCGGGTGCGACTTCGAAGACATGTGGCACAGCATCGATGCGGAAGCCATAGACGCCCTTGCGCAGCCAGAAACGAAGTACATCCTTCATGGCCTCCACAACCTTGGGGTTGCGGTAGTTGAGATCCGGCTGCTTGGCAAGGAACTGGTGCAGATAGTACGCCTGGCGACCCTCGTGCCAGGTCCACTGCGAGCCGCGGAATACGCTTATCCAATTAGTTGGTGGCTGCCTGATGCCATTGACCACCTTGCCGGTATGCCACACATAGAAGTCCTTGTACTCCTCCTCACCTGCTGCAGAGCGTATAAACCAGTCGCACTCATCGGACGAGTGGTTGGGCACAAAGTCCAAAATGATTTTGATGTCCAGCTGCTTGGCGCGCTCCAACAACTTTTCAAAGTCCTCCATGTTGCCAAAGAGCGGGTCGATATCGTAGAAGTCGGCCACATCGTAGCCAAAGTCTGCCATGGGCGAGGTGAAAATCGGGGACAGCCAAGTGGCTGTAACGCCGATCTCCTTCAGATAGGCCAGCTGTTGCGTAACACCTGTACGCAAATCAAAGAACACATCAATTTGATACTTCACTCAGCCCTTATTGTTCACACCCACCATTAAGGTCGCCAACGCCATCACCATCGCTGTCCTTGTAGGATCGCGGATAGATCTGATAGAACTGGGCCGTGCGCCACCAGCCCACCTCGGCGAGCGTGGGCAGCACAAGTGCCAGCAGGCAGCACAGTGTCAGAGATTTGGTCAACATGTTGTCGCAATACTGACTACGACTGGGGATTAGTTGCTAGCCCTATTTATGCACTGGGCCCCATGCAGCGGGCAGCGATGATAAGCTTAGGTCGTGATAAGCCCCCAATAATGCAAACTATCGACCACTGATTAGAACTGAAGGTCTAGGCCTGATATGTTTACGACCGAAGCATTTTCAACCTGGTCTTCCATAGGAAATCGGGCGTAGGTATTTATGGGAGCCACTGCTTATCGCTTTTATTCTTGTTTCACGTTTGCAGATCATGAGACAGATAAGCAGCAAATTAATTTCGTAAATGCATAAAAAATATGACCCAGCCCGAGACCGAACAACAGCTGTTCTTATGAACAATTTATGAGTCCAATTTGCTGGGGATATTTTTTTAGTATGTGAACATCAAGTGCCACCCAGTACATTGATATAGCAGCTACATGTAGGAGAGAAGCAAAACAAATGCCAAGATAGATAGACCATAAGAATCTTTGTTAAAATATATTTTACTGATACCTTATTTCCACCCAAATTCCCTAATAAATTTCCAATAGTATCTCTACAGACAATTGAATGAAAATCTTAAAATTTGTATACAAAAGTATTCCACCCACATTAAATTTCTGAAAACCCCGCACCCATAAAACTGATGAGATTGGTCTGCACAAAAAATTTTAAATATGGTTTGTTATCGAGGAAAAAACCTTGTCTATTCTTTACAAATAAATCAGTCTAATTGTCAATTCTATCTTGTTCTGTACCCTATAAATAAGACTATCAAATCGTCTAATGTACTATCTTTTCAGCCCTAACCTATTCCAACAGTTCCTTGCAATAGTATTTATAATGTAAACCTAAGCCTGATAAAATAAAAATCTATTAGGGTTTCTATAACTTTAATAGTTTAAAAGAGTACCCGAGTCCCAATTTAATTTTATTTCAATTTAATCGATTCATAAATCACTGGAGTCGCCCCCTAGCGGAGAGGGCCCACGCTTCTCGAAAAACAACGATAAGCGCTAATGCCGATTGTTTTACAATTTAGATTCGGGCATTATCGATAGCAGCTGAAGGCATATAATAGGTCGATGGACCTCGGGTCTCCTTTAGTTTGAAATGACTACTTGGTCTAGCATTGCCTTACTACTGGGCTTAGGCCTTTTAGCCGTGGATGCGGCTGCGCCCTGGTGGCAGACGGCCTCCTTCTATCAGATCTATCCCCGCTCTTTTAAGGATAGCGATGGAGATGGCATTGGCGATCTGAATGGTGTTACCGAGAAGCTGGAGTATCTGAAGGAGATTGGTGTGACAGCGACTTGGTTGTCGCCGTTCCTGCGCTCACCTATGGCTGACTTTGGATACGATATATCGGACTTCAAGGAAGTGGATCCTCTCTTCGGCACAATGGAAGACTTTGAGAACATGGTAGCACGTGCCAAGCAGCTAAATGTTAAAATCATCTTGGACTTTGTGCCCAACCATTCGAGCGATGAATGCGACTGGTTCATTCGCTCTGCTGCCGGTGAAGAGAAGTACAAAGACTATTACATCTGGCATCCGGGCTTTTTAGAGAACGGGGAACGCAAGCCGCCAACCAACTGGGTGAGCGTATTCCGTGGGTCGGCCTGGGAGTGGCACGAGGGTCGCCAGGAGTACTATCTGCATCAGTTCCACAAGAAGCAGCCGGACTTTAACTTCCGCAATCCCGTCGTGCGCGAGGAAATGAACAATGTTCTGCGTTTCTGGCTGGAGAAGGGCGTCGACGGCTTCCGCGTGGACGCCATATATCATGCCTTCGAGGTTGAAGCCGATGCGAATGGCAACTACCCGGACGAGCCTCGCAACGACTGGACCAATGATCCCGACGAGTACGGCTACACCCACAAAATCTATACGGTCGACCAGCCCGAGACGCCGCATTTGGTGTACGAATGGCGTGAGATTCTGGAACAGTTCCAGAAGGACAACGGCGGTGAGGAACGGTAAGTTAACTGAACACTCTTTCGGAATGTGGACTTAGGAATTGTACTTGCTACACTAGCATACTCATGGTGGAGACCTGGTCCCCCATTGAGATTGTGATGCACTACTATGGCAACGAGACAGCCGAGGGCGCACAGATACCCTTCAATTTCCAGCTGATAAGCAATCTGCAAATGGACTCCGATGCCTATCACTACGAGTACTTGATCAACAACTGGCTATCGCTAATGCCGACCGGCAAGAGTGCCAACTGGGTGGTAAGTGGACTACAAAGGCTTCCCATAACCATGTGACTAATCGCATATTAAATCAATTGACGATACGGCGCGCAGATTGGCAATCACGATAAGAACCGCGTCGGTTCACGGTTTGGAGCCGATCGCGTTGATCTGTTCAACATTTTGTTGCTCACGCTACCCGGCTGCAGTATCACCTACCAGGGCGAGGAGCTGGGCATGCTGGATGGCTATGTCTCGTGGGAAGATACAGTGGATCCTCAGGCCTGCAATGGGTACGAGGAGAATTACATGGCGATGTCCCGGGATCCCGCCAGAACGCCCATGCACTGGACGAATGGTAAGTTGGCTGGTTTCACCAGCGGCAGCGACACCTGGCTGCCAGTTGCCCTGGACTTTGCCCAGCGCAATGTGCAGACGGAGCGCGGTGCTCCGCTCAGCCATTTAAATGTGTTCAAGCGTCTGCAGCAGCTGCGCCAGGAGCCAACCATTGAGCAAGGAGCCGCTGAAGTGAAGGCTGTCAGTGGCTATGTCTTGGCGGTCAAGCGGTGAGTGGAGCCCTCTTTTAATAAGCCCCAGTCTTCCTATATTTATCATTCTATATCTCTGACAGCTATCTGAGTGGCAATTACGTGTACATTTCGCTCTTCAACATTTTCGATCATATTGAGAATGTGAATCTGAATGACGTATTCAGCGGGCTGCCGGACAATTTCCAGTATGCCCTGGTCACCGACAAGTCCATCAAGCAGCTGGGAGACAAGGTCTCCGCCAGCAGTGTCACCCTTATGCCCCACGAAGCCGTTGTTCTACGCTCCACAACAACCATCTAAGCCAGCACAGAATAACAAGAGTTGTGAGAAATAAAAAATGGATTTCTATCTCGATGGGATTTATGTTTTGGACTTTTATTTAAACTGATAATGCTTATCTTCGACTGAAATCTGATTTGATTTGGGATTGAATTATGCATTTATTGTTGTCGCCAAAATCGATATGACAAACATGTATGCATGGAAATGTGTATATGAATGTACATATGTACATACATATATTCCCATATCACTCTATCGACAAATAATTGTAAACAAGCTTCGAAGCCATACGAATAAGCACCCTGTAAACGATTAGTTACGAAATTTCATTGATAAGAAGTCTTAAGGGAGACGAGGTTTCAATTTGTCAAGAAACTACTTTGGCAATCAAGTATTTTCGATTATCAGAAAATAATACAAACAACTTTTCTACAAAGTGTTTTGAAAATATTTAAAAATTATATAAAGATACTTCCATCGAGTCTACCACAAATAAATTAAATAAATAATTAGTACATCCGAAGATATTAATATTTGTTAGTTCTTAAAGTTGGCAAACCTCGTGAATAAGTTGAGTACGGGGTATACAAACAGCAGCAATAAAATTGCCGGCTGCCGGAGCGCCAGTTGAGAGAGCAAATTGGAATAATAATCGAATTAACGCCAAATATTGAAACTGTATGCACAGTGAGTTCTGTATTTACGAGTACAGTTAAAAATAGACATATAAATGATTGCGATGATAAGTTAATTCCTTCTGTTTCTCTGCAAACCAATCTATAAGTATATCTACAAAATATTATTTTTGCACAATTCGAGTATATATATAGTTTACTAAACAAAGAAAAAGTTTAAAATATTTAAATCTCCTTAAATACATCATATTATTATTATTAGCCTACATATATTACATTGTATGCAAGGGCATAAATTATCCCCATTCCGAACTATTTTACTCCGATCACCCACTGTGCCTACTCGAATATACGTATAGCATATACATATGTTTGAGAGTAAATATGTTGCTGTGCTCTCTGCTTCCCATTTTTCTATCCACTACGTAAGTCCTCTCTTTGCGGCTCAGGTGGTACGGAGAGCACGTACACTAAAAATAAATCAAGTAAACCAAATTCATGTGCTCAGCGCCGGCACACTGCAGGAGAGCACCGCACCAGGGGAGGTGGCGTAAGCGGACAGTCTGTGAATTTGCATGATCTCCAAGTGTTTCGCTTGCAATCGTCAGTCGCTTTTGTTTGTTCGTTGCGTTCAGTTCCAACGGAGACAGTTTCTTTATCAGAAAATGCTGTGCTCAGTGAGAGCTTTGCTGATGCTGCTGCTGATGATGCTGCAGTACATTGGCCCGGCGTTGAGTCAGCCCTATCCGAACTATCATGCGGACTTTGTGGACATCGATCAGCACAGCAAGGAGCCCAAGTGGTGGCAAACCGGCGCATTCTATCAAATCTATCCAAGGTCATTTAAGGACAGCAATGGCGACGGCGTGGGCGATCTGAACGGTGAGCCAGAGCGAAAGAACAAAGCAACTAGTAAAAGAGATACTGAAAGTGATAAACATTTTTAGGCATTGCGGATCGTCTGCCATATCTGAAGGAATTGGGCATTACGGCCACTTGGCTATCGCCCATTTTTAGCTCGCCCATGGCGGACTTTGGCTACGACATTGCCAACTTTACCGAGATAGCGCCTATCTTTGGGACCATGTCCGACTTCGAGCGACTCATTAAGATCGCCAAACAGCTGGATATGAAAATCATTTTGGACTTTGTGCCCAACCATTCGAGCGATGAGTGCGATTGGTTCAAGCGATCGGCGGCAGGCGAGGCGGAGTACAAGGATTTCTATGTGTGGCATCCCGGACGTATGGTCAACGGCACTCGCCAAACGCCTAGCAACTGGTTGAGCGTGTTCCGCGGCTCCGCCTGGGAGTGGCATGAGACTCGCAAAGAGTATTATCTGCATCAATTTCTCAAAAAGCAACCCGATCTGAACTATCGAAATCCCAAAGTCCGGGATACCATGAGGGTGGGTTGAAGATATCTACTAATCTTTGATTAAATGGCCTCTGTCTAGACTTATTCTTGACCGGCAATAGAGATCTTGACTGTTTCGAGGTCTCGCATCGACTGATGTAGATGCATCTTGACTGATCTCAAGTTGATCTCAATTGGCATTGTCCGATATGAACCGATTTCTAAATGAACGTCTCTGATTTTGTCACTATTTTTTTTTTCTCGCAGAATGTGCTACGCTTTTGGTTGGCCAAAGGCGTTGCCGGCTTTCGCATTGATGCAGTGCCGAGCGTGTTTGAGATAGCGCCCGATGCTGCGGGTCAGTATCGCGATGAACCGCGCAACGATTGGGTCAATGATCCCGATGACTACGGGTATCTGCAGCACATCTATACGGTGGATCAGCCAGAGACACTGGCCATGGTGTACGATTGGCGTGCCGTGCTCGATGAGTTCAAAGATGGCGACGAGCGCATCTTGCTGGCGGAGACCTACTCACCCATCGATATTGTGATGCAGTACTATGGCAATGCAACGGCTGAGGGTGCTCAGCTGCCGTTCAACTTTCTGCTGATAACCGAAATCTCAAACAAGTCCAACGCGGTGGACTATGCTCAAACCATACAAAAGTGGCTACAGCACATGCCGCAGGGTCGCACAGCCAACTGGGTGGTAGGCTTTCCTTCTGTCCCTTCGTGCTTAATCCCTTTCTAAGATTCTATTCTTTTCTATATTCACAGTTGGGCAATCACGATCAGTCGCGTGTGGGCTCGCGTCTTGGCGCAGATCGCGTGGATATGTTGAATATGCTGATCACCACATTGCCGGGCGCCAGTGTAACCTATCAGGGCGAGGAGCTGGGCATGACAAATGTGTGGATATCATGGAAGGACACTGTTGATCCCTCGGCCTGCAATACTAACGCCAGCATCTATGAACATTTCTCACGTGATCCCGAGCGCACACCCTTCCAGTGGAGCGGCGATGCCGACGCCGGTTTCAGCAATGCCAGCAAGACATGGCTACCCATTGCCGGGGATTACAAGCAGGTTAACGTAGACCAAGAGCGCCAACAGCCACTCAGCCATCTCAATATCTACAAGAAGTTGCTGCAACTCAAACGAACGGAGAAAACTCTGCAACTGGGCGATGTTGAGGTGAAGGCCTTAAGTGGAGCAGTTCTGGGAGTGAAACGGTGGGTTCACTATGGTTGCAAAACGAATCATTTGTAATTAGTCAAAATATTCCTTTCATAGCTTCCGTCAGCATGACTTTACCTATGTGACATTGCTAAACATCTTCGATGGTATTGAAACAGTCAATCTGAATCAGAGCTTTTCTGATTTGACAGCTCAAATGGAGGTGGTGGTGGTATCAGGCAACTCTAAGCGTAAAGTGGGGTAAGTAGTTTATATATTAATTATCAGATTGAGAATATTTAATTAGAGACTCAATATGACCAATGGGATAGATTTCCCATTTAAATTTATCCTTTTATTCAATGAAATATATTTTTATAAAATTTCAATTTGGAGTCTATAAAAATAATTATACTTACATCTTACGCCCATTTCATTTCATTAAAATGAAGCAAATTCCTTAACATTCCTCTCCACATTTATAAACTCCTAACTCTAACATATATTAACAATCGACAGGTTTAGATTGTACTTTACATTTCCATCCTGTTTTTTAGATAATTATTATGATCGGTTCACAAAGTGAGAACGAGTACATATATGGTTTTGTCCGTCTGTCCGAATAGCATTATATCTTTGGCCATACTTACAAAGAAAATCGATAATATAGCTGACCTCCCAAATGGCAATAATTAACAATATTAATATTTTGCAATTATCGTTGGTTTCTTAATAAGTTATAACTTCTAGAGTATTATGGCTTTTTTTAGTTATACTCATATGTCAAGAAAATCGAAAGAAATTCAGATGGTTTAATCTAGATTTGAGACTTCTACGCTAAGTGATCTCTGCTCAAAGCGATCTGATATATTAAAGATTGTCTTCAAATTTTATTTTTTTTCCTTAGCGATCTCATCGATAGCAGTTCTCTGCAGCTGCTTCCCAAGGAGTCGTTGATTCTGAGAAGCACATCCATTTATTACACGTACTATGTGAATGGAGAACATCGTAAGTTGCCGGTGCTGGGCATTTATCTGGTGTTGGCTCAAGTGGTGCTCTATCTGAACTATTGTCAAGTTCTCACACTCAATCGCAGGTGGTAGTCATTTTTAATAATGTGAATACTCATAGCCAAATAAATATTTACAAACATTCGATGCACTTGATGCTTATCAATCTAGTTGGAACGTTCGCTGGGGAGCACGATGAGTATATAAAGCTCTGCGAAATCGCGCATATAATCAGTTATGGCGCATTTATTCAAGTTAATAGTCACGTTGTTGTGCTTGGGGCTGCAGTGCGGCCTGGGCCAGGCAGCTGCTGTCGATCTGGAGAGCGCGAGCAGCAGCAGCAGCAGTGAAGCTACTCGCGATTGGTGGCAGGTGGCGCAGTTTTATCAGATCTATCCACGCTCCTTCAAAGATTCGAATGGCGATGGCATCGGCGATTTACAGGGCATCATTTCCAAGCTGGATTATCTCAAGGATCTGGGCGTTACGGCCACTTGGCTGTCGCCCATTTATACCTCGCCCATGGCTGACTTTGGCTATGACATTGCCGATTTCTTTGACATTCAGGCGGAATACGGCACGCTAAAGGACTTTGATGAGCTCATTGCGGCTGCCAACGAGCGTGGACTTAAGATCATACTCGACTTTGTGCCCAACCACTCGAGTGATGAGAACGTCTGGTTCGAAAAGTCGGTGCGTCGCGAGAAGGGCTACGAGGATTATTATGTGTGGCACGATGGCTACTTGAATGCCACCACTGGCCAGCGGGAACCGCCATCCAACTGGCTGCAGGCCTTTCGAGGCAGCGCCTGGGAGTGGAACGAGCAGCGTGCCCAATATTACCTGCATCAGTTTGCTGTGAAGCAGCCCGATCTTAACTATCGCAATCCCGCGGTGGTGGC